CTAGGGTAGGGAAAGGTAGGTCAATTCTGAAGGCCCACACATTTCGGGCCCACAACCACTCCACGACCACTCCACCACCCCCTCCGGTTCTGGGGTCACCACAGCGTAATGAACCGCCAACTTATCCAGCACTTGTATTACTTAGCGCATGCCCTTCCAGCTGTAACCCATCACTGGGAAACACCTATACACTCTAATTAACACTCATACATTACGGACAATTTAGCTTATTCCATTCACCTTTAACACGTCTTTGGGCTTGTGGGGGAAACCAGAGCAGGGGAAATCCAAACGAACATGGGGAAAAGGCTCTATTTATTTAATAAAAATGCTGCACAGTAAAATGCATTGTTTGTTATGTATTATATTTACTTTTATATCATTATTTGTATTCAGGTATGGTAAACAAGAACCAATTTTATTTCTAATACACAAAATATATGTATTATGACGTGTACATGAGATACAGATAAGTTTAATACCTTGTAATATCAAAATCATAGAAAAAAGATCAAAATTAATTTGTCGTTTTATACCGGTCAAAAAACTATATTTGGGAGGAAAAAGGTAAGAACAAAGAAATACATTTTCAGTAAGCCCGAGGAAGGTGAATGAAAAGCTGGCAAAAGCCTGTCTATTCTTTGATAGTATTAATCATTAAAGGTGTTGCTACATTCCTCTATATGAAGTATATTGCCAATGTTATTATTGATGTTATGAGGTGACCTCTCCCCAGGCTGTGTTCAGTTTTGTGTGTCTCCACATTTGTAGCGGGCGGTTTTATCAGAGGCCAGTTCTGTGCTTCATCTCTGAAATAAGTTGCTCAAAGCACCGAGCACTGAGCCAATTTATGGAAAAACTCCCAGTCACAGGCCTCCATGGTTTTACACCAGATTTCACTCAGTTTTCATCATACTCCAGATTTTCGGGGATCATAATTTTTGAAAGGATTGAAATGATTTGATGAGAGGATTAGTGAACGGTGACAGTCAGCTGCTTGAACAGAGTCATTTATGTGCACAATGTAATCATATTCTCATGTGAATAGCAGCGAAAATGGCAATACAAGCATGCCGTTCAATCAAATCATAATAGTGAGATTTCACTGATTGACATGCTATTATTTCTTTGAGAGAATATTGATTTTTTTGTTCATATTTTCATGCATTAGGCCATTCATTTAAAAAACAATAACATTTTGATTTGTGACTAAACATGCTGTATTACACATGGCAAGTCTGTAGTCTATTATTATTATTATTATTTTATTTTTATTTATTTTTATTTTATTTATTTATTTATTTATTTTTATTTTATTTTATTTAATTTTTTTTTTTTTTTTTTTTTTTTGTGGTCCGGAGGCTTCCACGGCACTTGTAATTGCAATGATATGAACAATAACAATGGCATGCATCAGTTTAACAGTATCAGTCTGAGTATCAGTATCAGAGTAAACAGTGTCTTTTCTACATGATGAGAACAAAAACCTATTTGAATGGGAGTTCAGCTACTGTTACACTGTAAAAAAAATTAAGTCAGTTAACAAAATCAAAAAAAACATAATTCTTATTTCCTTTTGCTTTTTTTTCTTCACTTAACTTTTGAAAACATCAGCTGCACTGACCTAAAATTATTTGTCAGTAATACAGAAAGCATTTAGTTGGGTTAACATAAGATTATAGTGACGCGGTGGCTCAGTAGGTACTGTAGTGCTGTCGCCTCACAGCAAGGAGGTCGCTGGTTCAAGCCTCGGTCGGGTCAGTTGACGTTTCTGTGTGGAGTTTGCATGTTCTATCCGCATTTGCTTGGGTTTCTTCCGGGTGCTCCAGTTTTCCTACAGTCCAAAGACATGCGGTACTGGTAAATTTTGAACTAAAATGTTAACATTTGACTCTGTTTTAGTTTTAATTGAGCTATGTTTGTTTAAGTTTTTTTGTTCACTCAACTTCCAACATTTTAGGTTAGTGCAGCTCAAGTTTTCAAAAGTTGTGTACCTGTACACATCAGTGCCAATGGTAGAGCGTCGACACTTGGCACTCTGGTGTTCATGGTGACCCGAGTTTGATCCTTCCTTTCTCCTCTCCCCATGCTTTCCTGCCTACTATACTGTTCTATCCATTAAAGGTGAAAAAAATGTTGAGTACACAAGAAAAAACGGAAGAAAATAAGGATTATGTTGTTGTTTTTTTGTTCACTCAACTTCAGGCATTCCAGTTTTGCAGACAAAAAATGTTCAGTTGGCACAACTTAAAACTTTTTGTTACAGAGTAGTTCACCTCTCCATTCATTCAGTCATTTTCTTTTCGGCTTAGTCTCTTTATTAATCTGGGGTTGCCACAGCGGAATGAATCGCCTACTTATCCAGAACATTTTTGTTCAGTTTTACACAGCAGATGCCCTTCCAGCTGCAACCCATCTCTGTGAAACATCCATACACACTCATTCACACTCATACCACCCAATTCACCTGTACCGCATGTCTTTGAACTGTGAGGCAAACCGGACCACCCAGAGGAAACCCACGCAAATGCAGGGAGAACATGCAAACTCCACACTGAAACGCCAACTGACCCAGCCGAGGCTCAAACCAGCGACCTTCTTGCTGTGAGGTGACAGTACTACCTACTGCGCCACTGCGTCGCCTTCACCTCTCCAGAAAACTAATAATCTTATGTGAACCCAACTAAATGTTTTCTGTACTACTGACAAATAATTTTAGGTCAGTGTAGCTGATGTTTTCAGAAAGTTAAGTGAACAAAAAAAAAGCTAAGGGAAATAAGGATTATTTTTTTTGTTTTTGTTAAACTGACTTTTTTATACATTGTATAGAGCTTCAGGGTCAAAGTAAAGTACATAAAGTAAAAGTATATGTAAAAAATACACATACATATATATATATATATATATATATATATATATATATATATATATATATATAAGCAAAAAATAGGCTTGTGCAGAAAGACTGAAACTATTGGTGTTTCATACAGTTTAGTATCACATCTTTCAAATAACTTATTTTGTAAACATTGGACATAATAACATTGAAAACATTCATTTTTACAAACTTTCAAAAGTTTTAAACCTTTTACATTTTCAAACTGCTACGTTAAATGGTTGGCAATATATAAAACATTAATTTCAAAAAGGAAGTTTGCAGTGTTTATGCCAGTAACAGTTGCATGTTTACTTTGAAACTTTCCCATAGACAAACTACCTAGCATTGCAAATATTTAGACCTGATTTCTGGACTCTGCACTCCTTACCACTGCATACATAAGCTTTGAAAAGCAGATAACACATGCCAAAATAAAACATGTGACTTTCAGAAAATGTTATATTATTTTAATCAATAACTTGGTCTAGGCTATCTAGTGGCTGCACTATAACCTCACAGCAATATGGTCACTAGTTCGGGTCCCTGCTGAACCAGGAGGCCCTTCTGTCTGGAGTTTGCATGTTCTGTCTGTGTTCCTGTGGGTTTCCCCCAGGTGACATGGTGTAATTGTGAATTAAATAAATAAACTGGCCGTAGGGTATGGATATGTGTGTGAATGAGAGAGTTTATGGGTGTTTCCCAGCACTGGGGGTTGACAAGTTAGTGTACTCTCAGTGCTGGGTTGCCGATGGAAAGGCATCTGATGCATAAAAAATATGCCAGAGTAATTGGTGGTTCATTCTGCTGTGGTAACCCCTGATGGAGCAGTAATTAAGCCGATGGAAAGCGAATGAGTGAGTGAACTTTGTCTAAACTGGTAATCTGCTAATATAGAAAGAGCTGACCTAACATATTTATAAGATCAAGTGAAAGGGTTCAATAGGTTTCAAAAGCATGCATGTGTTGAGTGCAAAAACCAAACAAACAAAATGAGTCTAACACAGACTCATTGCGAATATGTGCCCAGGGCTACAATTTTTTTTTTTAGAAAACCGCAATTTGTTTTCATGCAGATGTTTGAGCAGGTGTTCACACAGCACCGAACAAGCATAAAATCCACAAAAACGTCTTAAATGTGTCTGTGATCCATAACCGAATTCCCCACACGCAGTGTCAGTTTGCTCAGTAGCTTCCCTTGTATGGTGTAGTATCTGGTATGTGGAGCAGGTCTGAGTCCAGCGATGGACAGTTCCGGAAACAACGAATAAAAAAAGGGCGGTAAAGTCATAGCAAGACCTTGACCTGATAGCAAGGTCGCATATTATGCACAAGCTGGCAGGCTTCTCATGATCACGCACAAGAAGAACATTTAAGTGGCACATATTCTATGAGAAAACATACCCATTAACTTTATCGAGATTATCAAAAATGTAGACAGTGGTGTGTGATTTGCATATAGCTGTGGTCAAGATGATCTCATCAGAATGAGAAAAAAGAAAGGTGATTTAACTGACTTGGATACAAGAAAAGGGCATCTACTGCAATTTCCATGCTTAACCGTATCTTACAGAGCTTACAGGGAATGAATATCAGAGAAAAAATATCCAGTGAGCAGCAGTTGTGTGGGTTAAAATGTCTTGTTGATGATGGAGGTCAGAAAATAATGGTCAGACTGGTTTGAACTGATAGAAAGACAAAAATAAAATAAAACTTGTTACAACCAAAGTCTGCACAGTACAAATCTGCAGTATCTGTGTGCTGCTATCATGTCAATAAGGACCAAAACTATGAGAAATGTTTTCAATATATGCCATTAAAATGATGGCAGTTAATAGTAGACCTAATGTGGTCAGTGAGTGTATTTACTGTATTGATTAGTGTCACTTTCAGGTAGCCTGTCACCAGTGTTCTTTATTTATAGCTTTGTAAAGGTTTTATTAACCATTGTGTTTGACCAGGAAGTATAGAATATCAAATTTAAGACCTTCTGAAAAAAAAAAACGAAAGCACTTTTGTCAGAGATTATTGATTGTTTGAGCTTTTAAACATTAAACATTTCCCGTTAATCAGGTCACATGTCTAAAGGTTAGTGATAAAAGGGACAGCATTACAAACACACAGCAGTCAAGCCAAAACTGAAGCTGCAGGTTTGTACCGTTACGGAGAGTTGTTTCACATCTGTTTTTCATGATTTATTTATAGCCTGCTTTTGATTCTCTTAAAGCCTACAGATAATAGAAGACTTGGAGCAAACTTTTTCTTTGTCAAGAAGAGCAAGGTATGTGATCACAACACTTACGTCATCCATTTTCTTTTTTGTTTGTTTCTACAGTCAGTACATCTCTAACATTTATGAATCTAATAAAGTTCATGTGTTTTTTTTCTAGATTAACATCATCATGTCCGTCCTAAATGTGCTATTTTCATTTACTAACAATGCTTTATTGTAAAATGTTATCTAATGATCGTATCTTGTATCATCATATGCCTATTTTCTGCCAAAAACACTTTATTTTGTCATTTGTCAGTCATTTCTCGCTAGATCATGGGGATTCATCAGTGTACAGCAGTTGTGCTGCTGCTCCTTTGTGCTTCATTGTCCACTTACGGTCAACCAGCAGAAATAAGGCGCCGTTATGAGCATTTCCTCACCCAGCATGTCTATGGAGGCATAACTGAGCAGACATGTGACAGAGTCATGCGTCAGAGAGGCATCACACGATTTCCAACTGGCAATGACTGCAAAGAAGTCAACACCTTCATTCAAGCAAATGGTAACCATGTTAGAACAGTTTGTACTGGGGGTGGAACTCGACAAACTGATAACAGAGACTTGTACATGAGCAACAATCAGTTCACTGTTATTACCTGTACACTGAGAAGTGGGGAAAGACACCCAAATTGCAGATACAGAGGCAAAGAGTCTAGTCGAAAGATTGTTGTGGCATGTGAGGGCGAGTGGCCAACACACTATGAAAAAGGTGTTATTGTTTAGTCATTGTAAGTTACTGTTCATCTCTACTCTTCTCATTTTGTCTTGTCAATGCATAAATTACTTGATTGTTAATTCATTTATGTGCATCATGTGTCAATGAACAAGCAACTTAACATCCACAAAATTGTATGATAATATGCCTTGGTGCCTGGATATGCAGTAAAGTAGTTTTTAAAGGGGACCTATTTTGCCCCTTTTTACAAGATGTAAAATAAATCTCTGATGTACATAGAGTGTGTATGTGAAGATTCAGCTCAAATTACTTCACAAAGAATGTTTTATATTTCTTTGAAACTTCCCCTTAAGCAGGTCGCACACCAGAAGCGCCGCTCGGCGCCGCGACACGGCGCGTACATGACAGTTTAAAGTATCGCACACCAGACGCGCACATTCGAATGATATTTAACATGAAACTAATCAGATGGCGCTCTGTGGCGCGGCTGAAAAATGAACTGCGTCCTGAGCCGTCGCCGGGTGCCGCCGACAGCCGCCGACTTGCGGCGCCGGTGTGTGTATCCTGATAGAAACCTATGTTTAGAATTCTAAAATGCATGGCGCTGTGTGGCGCTTCTGGTGTGCGACCTGCTTTAGGCTTTGATCCAAATTGTGCCGTTTTGGTGACTGTCGCTTTAAATTTAAAAGAGATTTTGCTCTTTTCAGAAGATCTAAGAATTCCTGTGTGTCAGTAAAGTGGCAGATTCTTCAAAAACAAGATTAACTTCCTATGCTAATCAGGGAGAGATTGTCAATAGTGGGAGGGACTTACCCCCTCTGATGGTATGTACTATGAGAGAATGTCAATCAAAGTGTTTCTGCTTTTATCAAATGTGACTATAAAAAATAAAATTAATAAAACTGTATGATTAGAAGCTGTTTTTTACTGTCACTACACAACTGCGTTTAAACCCCTTAAGAAAGAAAGAAAGAAAGAAAGAAAGAAAGAAAGAAAGAAAGAAAGAAAGAAAGAAAGAAAGAAAGAAAGAAAGAAAGAAATTATTCGCTTGATTAATTAAATAAAAATGAATGGTCCAGTTTCTCGACCTAATGCATGTCTGTCTGTAATATCAAAAAATGTAAGAAAGTGCTCTGCAAGTCTACTTTTCGACTTGACTTGACTGTCATCTCACATCTTTCAGACTTTAAAACTGTGTGTGTTTATTTGGTTTATGAGGATAAATGTAAATAATAACATGGGTATTACAATGTATGCATGTTTTATGAGCACATTTTCTTGTATCCTTAATAAGTGTTTGCTGAAATTAAAAATAAAAATGTTTCCATAGTAATGTTTCTCTCGGTGTTGAGCTAACGCAAGGGAATAGAATATAAAGAATAAAAATAATTTCAAAGTTTCCATAAGCAACAAACAAACGTGTGCGTGTGTTTGACTGTGTTTTACGTGTGCTACATATTATAAGTTTCATTAAGCTAAATATAAATTTTTGAAGGTGTTGTAAGCTAATGATGATTACATGTTATGTAAAAAATACCGTTTTGTAATTATGCGAGGATTCAGATAAGAATTTAACGCACCATTGATTTTTCATTTTGTAACAATTTAATTGTGTGATTTACCTTGATGTGGTCAACGATCGTGTTCGGCGTCTTTTATTTTGTAACAAAATAAAACTGAACTTCCTGTTTGTGTTCGGAAGGCCAACGCTGGCTTCACGTAGCCACTGAACGCGGATTCAGACAGACAGCTGCTGCTGCTCACCTCAAAACTAACCACAAATCTCACATATGAGCTTAACTGAAAACTAAAAGAGATAAATAGACCCGTTTCAGCCGAACGCTCAATTTAAAAGCTTTTGTTAGAGCGTTGTTAGCTCTGTATTCTTATAAAACACCGGTGAAGTTGCTAACAGCTGACTGCTAGCTAGAGCTAGTGGTCATAACATCCCGAAACAGCAGCAGCAGTAGCATCATCATCACCATCTCTCCAATTCATGCTGCCGACCACTGAATTGAATAAATCTTCCTTCATTTGGACCATGGTGCCTCTTCATAACTGCTATTAAAATCATAAAGTAGCACTTAAAAGCCTGCTGTAAGTATTAAAAGCCAGTTCTGATGAATGTCCATTGTCTGGTGTGTCCCCCCTTGAGCTGTTGTTCAGTTTTGTGTTGTTTTTGACAGCTGTGAAAATGATCATTGTGGGTTATGATAGTTTTGGTTAATGTAGGATGAAAGTGACACCCTGTTTCTCATATATGTTTAATATATGTTTTTATTCTTTACCCAGGAGTGAGTGATGATTGTGTGTTGATGCCTCAAACAAGAGGGTCAGGACAGAGGGAGTGAGTTTGTTACCGTCCCTTGGTGGATATCTCACTGTCCTGGACATGATGAGCCCACGGCGGAAGGTCACCAGGACTCATAGTTTGGGTGGAGGAACGTTAAGCTCTCTTGGACATGAGGAACCCAAAGACTACATCAATGAGCTCTCACATGAGGTGCTCTGCCACATATTCCGGTCAGCACAGCATCTTAACATCCCAATCAATGCTAAAAGTGTACATCCTATATTGCGCTGGGTGATATGACAGAAATATCAAATCATAATATACAGTGCTCAGCATAAATGACTACACCTCATTTTGAAAATGATTTTTTTTTTTTTATCTATTTCTCAGTGGATATGGGTAATCAGCCAATCAGATTCGAGAACCAGACAGAACTGTTGTATAATATATATTTATTTATGTATAATATATATTTATTTATATATATATATATATATATATATATATATATATATATATATATATATATATATATATGGGTGCATTTGAACAAAACCAATTTATTAAACAGATTTATTTGTTAAAACAATATTCTAGTCACAGAACATCTTTAGAAATGGAAAGATAATACATTTACATTCATGCAAAAAAATTACAAACTACAACATTTCGACAAAATTGTTAATATTTTTTAGTTTTTTGTTTCTCTTGATTTTTGCTATTGTTTCCTAATATATAAATTTGGGCTACTAATTTTTGTACCGTTATTGTAAGTTATTTTGTTAGATAAGCACCAGAGTTGGCTTCAGTACTGACTAATGTAATGTATATGCTCAAATATAATATTGTGAAACATCCTATTTAAAATATTAATTTAAATGAGAGATTTTGGGGAGTTTACTGTTTAGCACTGTAAGTCATCTCATATCCAGATCACAATATTATACCATTTTTTTTTTTTGTAATTTCAATAATTATTAGCTTATATTTACTTAAACTATAGCTTAAATTTACTGAATTATACATGCTCACATTTCCTTTTTATTTAGAACTTCAGGGAAATGTTTTAATAAACTATGTAGAAATAGAAAATAAAAACTTTAAAACAAATGATTACAGGTTCAACATAAAAATATTGCTAAATAAAATTTTAAATAAAGTAAAAAAAGTGTTCAAGATTGCAACTTTCACAATCTTGTCATTTATGTTTCTGTCTACATACCCACAACTGCATGTAATATTGTGCACCTATGCAAATTATGATAAAGTATTACCAAAAACAATGTACTTTGTGAAAATGATAGAGTATAATATAAAACGATAGACTTTTTTATTTTTTCTATACAGTATACATATCAGCATATTGCACAGCCCTAATCCTAACCATTTCCTTATGTTAGCAATTCCATTTTTTGACATTACTGTCATAGTTGGATTCAAATTGCTGTAATTTTTCCTTGAATTATGATGCGTAAGTCCATCTCCCCACAGATACTTGCCCATGCAGGACATAATGTGCATGGAGTGTCTGTCAAGGAAGCTGCGGGAGGCGGTGACTCTGTATTTGCGGGTGGTGAAGGTGGTGGACCTTTGTGCTAGCCGGTGGTGGGAGTACATGCCCTCAGGTAGGCTGTGCTCTTAAATGGAAATTGTCACTACTAATATCGTAGCTGGATTTCCAAAAAACTTATTTCAAGCAGGTTTTATTTATGGTATGTTCACATTTTTTTTGCTATAAAAATGAAAATTTTTTGCCGTAATTCCCAGAAATTTGCAGACAATTTTGGGATAAAAAAAAGTATGTGTGTATATATATATATATATATATATATATATATATATATATATATATATATATATATATATATATATTATATCTTATTTACCATTTTAGGTAGCATTCTATGTTAGGTGTGCAATCTGACACAATAGCCCCTTTCACACATACAGACCTTTCCCGAAATTGACTGGCAATTTTCCAGAAAGGTCTGAAAAAAGGTAAATTCATTTCAGCAATTTTCCGGAAATAGAAGTTGTAACATTACCGGTGATTTGCCGGAATGCTGCTCTGTGTGAACGCAGAAGGAAGATTGCTGGAAAGAGCGCGTTCACATCTAGAACACACTGACACGAGACGTCTACATTAGCCAATCAGAACTATCAATCGTGTCAAACACACAAATCGCCCAATGCATGCCACAGGATGCGTAATCCAATCTTTGCATTTACATTTACATTTAGTCATTTAGCAGACGCTTTTATCCAAAGCGACTTACAAATGAGGACAAGGAAGCAATTTACACAACTAAGAGCAACAATGAATAAGTGCTATAGGCAAGTTTCAGGTCTGTAAAGTCTAAGAAGGGAAGTATTAGTAGTTTTTTTTTTTTTTTTTTTTTTTTTTTTTTTTTTTTTTTTTTTTTTTTGGTACAGTTAGTGTGATATTCAGAGAGGCAATTGCAGATTAGGAAGTGTAGTGGAGAGTAAATAGTTGAGTTTTTAGTCGTTTCTTGAAAGTAGCGAGTGACTCTGCTGTTCTGATGCAGTTAGGGAGTTCATTCCACCAACTGGGCAGATTGAGCGTGAGCGAAAGTGATTTCTTTCCTCTTTGGGATGGAACCACGAGGCGACGTTCATTCACAGAACGCAAGTTTCTGGAGGGCACATAGATCTGCAAAAGTGAGAGCAGATAAGAAGGAGCAAGGCCAGAAGTCACTTTGTAGGCAAACATCAGAGCTTTGAATTTGATGCGAGCAGTAACTGGCAGCCAGTGCAAACGGACTAGCAGCGGAGTGACATGTGCTCGTTTAGGTTCATTATAGACCACTCGTGCTGCTGCGTTCTGGAGCAGTTGAAGAGGCTTGATAGAGTTAGCTGGAAGCCCAGCTAGTAGATAGTTGCAGTAATCCAGTTTGGAGAGAACAAGAGCTTGAACAAGGAGTTGAGCTGCATGTTCAGATAAGAAGGGTCGGATCTTTCTGATGTTATAGAGTGCGAATCTGCACGATCGAGCAGTTCTAGAAATGTGGTCAGAGAAGTTTGCAGGTGAGACGTCATTTTTCGAGAGGCACTCAAATACATCACGTGCGTTTAAATGTACGTATTTTGTATTTTGCATTTAAATTAAGAAATTAGCATGATTGCATATTGAAATGGACTTTTTGTTGATTCTGTGAAAAACTCAGGAGTCTGGCTAGTGTGGTACACTTGAGTGTGAATAAATGTGAAAACAGAAAACTGAACAGCTGTCCCTTGTTTCACTTCCAAATAAACACTGCTATGGATGGACCAACGTATGAGGGCAACATGAAACAAAATATCTTAAGCAATCAAAACTGATGTCATAAGATGTGACCACAAATAGGACCGAATGCTGAAACGGGGGTACCATGTAGTTTTCATTCAGAGTTCTACACTGTGGTAAACAATTTGATTCCCATGTAAATCATAGGCCACGTGTTAAAAAAAAAAAAAAAAAAACTATTTGCATGTTTGAGTATTTCTTTGTCAAAAATTGCACACTATAAAAGATTATTTAATTCTAATTATTGATTTCAGTTGTATCTTTATATTTGTATTAAAAAATGACACCCTAACTAGTTGGTGCCAGATGGTTTCTCTGA